CCAATCTCTGGGTGATGTTATGACAGAAGAGGTCCAGTTTCACAACCAAAAAGTCATTTCAACAAATTTCAAGCTGTGTGTGTTTTCTTGAATACCATGAAAGGGATACTTAGATGATAGCAACACATTATAAAACCCCTTCCTTTCTTCTTCCACACACTTTGCCACACACTGGCAAAAACTTGAAAAACTCAAGACAATCACGCCCCCCATCCATACACTTCTTGTCTTTCCCCTAGCCTCCCTCCATCCTGATTCTGCATCATAAAAACCAAAAAGTGTTGCAGGGAGGCAGAACCTTCCTCATATGATGTTGGGGGGGGCGGTGGACTGAGTGGCAAAGCCAGAATCATCTTTTGTGGGCAAAAGGGTGGGGTGGGCCGCCTTCTGGGAAGCCCTCTACCCTTCTCTTTTACATTGCACACCCTGCCTGGGTGATCTCATCCACTCTCGTGGCTTCAATTACCATCTCCATGAGGGTGACTGCCAAATTTCTACCCGCAACCCAGAACTCTGCTCTGAGCTCCAGATCCATATATCAACTGCCTAGTCAACATTTCTCTTTGGGGGCGAATCAGATGGGATTACATCCTGCTATGAGTAACAGAGCCTGAAAATACAGTGTCCTCCACAAAAGGGTTTCTTTCTTCTGCATTAAACGCCTGGATGTACACAGCCCGAGGCTGGCATGGGAATACTGCTCAAGTGCCCATCTCTCTGAAGGTCACTATTCTGCTACCCCTGGGGCGTGTTCCTCAACCTTATGTTCCGAAATGGTGGTTTGCACTCCAGTCATCCCATCAACATTCCAGACAGTGGGATGAAGAAAAGCAGAACGAGGAACAAGGAACAACAGGTACCCACCAGCATTTATTTTTTTTTAAGATTTATTTATTTATTTGAGAGAGAGAGAATGAGAGAGATAGAGAGCAGCACGAGAGGGAAGAGGGTCAGAGGGAGAAGCAGACTCCCCGCCGAGCAGGGAGCCCGATGCGGGACTCGATCCCGGGACTCCAGGATCATAACCTGAGCCGAAGGCAGTCGCTTAACCAACTGAGCCACCCAGGTGCCCATACCCACCAGCATTTAAAGCCTGGAAGACACCATATAGCACTTCTGCTTCTGTCTCATGAGCCAGAACTTAGTCATGTGGCTACACCTAGCAGCAAGGAAGGCTGGGAAATCTCTTCTTTATGCTGGGTGGCCACGTGCATGGCTAAAAAGAGAAGATTGTATTGTTAAGAACAAGAAAATAGATATCAGGGGAGGGGGCAGCTCCAGTCTCCTCCAACTTAAGATGGCTGACATGGTATTATCTCCCCCCAGCATGTCCTGTTCCCTTAGAGTCTTGGTCCTTTTGTGTACCCTCACAGAACCCTGCCCTCCTTGCCTTTATCTGCACTGTTGCCTCCTCCTGGAATGTCCTTCCCACTCCTCCACAAGGATAACTCAGCAGTCCTTCAGGGCTCAGATCAGGGGTCACCTCCTCCAAGAAGTCTTCCCGATGTTCCTGCTGGGAACCCTAATAACATCACACTGGAGAAGGGGATGCAAGTGGGACAGTGTTGGTGCAGAGTTCCGGGAAAGGGGCCGATTATGATCCTTTGGGTGTCATTTGGGGGCAAGGTGCTGGAGAGGCTCGGCAGGAAGGTGCGACCCCGGGGCTTTCTTTTTATGAAAAAAGAGGCTCCAGCTGCCCATACAGGAGGGGAGGCGGGGCACTACCTAGGCTGGCCACGGGCCGGGCCTCCCACACTCCCATCTCTGATGAGGAAAATGATGTGGCTGTGGCCCACAGACAGGAAGTCCAGCTGGGTGGGGGCAGGCGGAGTAATTCCTGGAAGGAAGCTCTCGCACCTCGGGAATCTGGTAGAGGAACACTCTAGAGGCCTCTGTCCCAGGAGCCCTCCACCTCCTGTCCCCAGGAAGGGTCAGGCAGGGCTGGACAACCATTGGGGAGCCTCCTCTGGGTGCCTAGGTACCATTCTCCCCTGCCAGCCTCCTGCAACATAGGGTCAAAGACATAGGCCCTGAGGCCACTGCTGGGTCCGAATGGGGCAGTGCCCAGTTCTCCCAAAATCTCAGCTTTCTCTTTTGTACAAATGAGGATGGAGGGCCCTTCCCCCCAAGGGTTTGGTGGCAGGGTAAACTACCCAGGTAGGCACCAGCACACTGTGGGATTCAGTCAACAAAGTCCACTGGTGAATAAGTCTACTGGCACCTGCCCTCCCTGTTGGTGTATATTTGTGCGTGGGGGCAGGAGGGGGCGCAGACTGAGACGCCCTGTCCTATAACTGCCTGCTGGTCTGCCGTGTCAGGCCAGGCGGTGGGCACTGGAAAAGGAGAGCCCTGTTTCTGCCTTCCCAACCCTGCGTTTTCCTGAGAGACCCTTAGTGATCACCGGGGCCGGGGGCTCTCTGAACTGACACAGCACCCACAACAGGGTCCAAGGGGCCAGTTTTTTCCCCAAGGGCTCAAGGGAAAGAAGAATATTGCTGAGCAGGTCAGGGCTGGGGGCCTGGCCCAGGGGGAACAAAGCTCTGGAGCTTGTGTTCAAAGGGCTGGAGATGAGGCTGGAGGTTAGGTCTGGGAAGGGGAGCTTGAGAGGTCAACCAAGGGCAGTCCACACCTTGGATCACTTGGATCTTCTCCTACAGGTAGTGGGGAGCCACGGAGAATATAAGTGGTGAAGGGATGGGGCCAGACTTGCGCTTTGGAAAGTCACCTTCACTTGCACAACAGAAATGGGCTGGAAGGGCAGGGCGTCCTTGAGAGAATGGAGGAGCCAGGCCAGACTGGGGAAGCCTGGCCTGGAGAGAGGCTGCTCCTGGGAGGATACTCTCAGAGGCTGATTCTTCCTCCAGCTTCCCCACCCTGGGAGAAGCAGAAAGCCGGTGAGGTCAGTGGGCGGGCCCACAATGGCACTGGGAGGGGAGAGGAGGGTATCGCAAGGGCACAGAGAGAGAGGGTGGTAAAGGCCGGGATCCTTGTGCGTGACCTCCTGGGCCCCAACCTGCTGACAATTGAATCGAACATTCTTGACTTTGAGGATTCACTGGGATTATTTGCTGTCCTTCCCTTCTGTTAGACTGGAAGCTGCCCAAGGGTGGGGCCTGTAACTCCCAAGTCAGACTGAGAGGGCCCGAAATGGGGGGGCGGGGGGGGGAAGCCTGCCAAGTGGGAGGATGCTGAGGGCTGGGGACCCCTTACCATGAGTCTTCTTCACTCCTGCTCAGAGCCTGCTGCCATGGCCTTCAGAGATGAGCCAAAAGGTAGAGCTCAGGGTGGGGATGGAAGAAAGGGCGGAAGAAAACAAGAGACGGACTGCGTTGGAGGGGCCAGACGCTTTGCCTGGTCTCCATACACTCCCCTGCGGCCACTTCCGCCCTCCCGCCTTTGCTCAGCCTCTGGCATGACAGGAGAGGCTGACAGCCCCCATCACACACCTGTCACACACCCAGACACATGCAAACACACGCACGAAGACACACATATATAATGTACATAGACACAAAGACACGAAGAGACGTCCCGGGAGACACACTAACACATGAACACAGTCCCAGGAGACACACTTGCAGGAGCAGCTGGTGGAGGCTGCCGATTGGATACCTTGCTGGCTTACTGGCTAGCCACAGACATCACACACTGTCTGGTGCAGCACCCCCCACCCCCCGGCCTTGCTGCAGGGGCGCTCCAGGGCAGTTACCCGGATAACAAGCCTAGCAGAGGTGACACTTTAGCTGATGAGCTGTTAGATGGGCAGTGGGGAGGAGGTACAGCTTCTAGGGAGGGAAAAAAGGCCCCAGCAAAGGTTTGGGGGTAGCGGGACAATTGTGATGCCCAAAGAACTGTGGGCCCTTGTCTGGGAAGGGGTGACAGACCAGACCGGAGGCCAGCCTCCCTACTGCAGAGAGACATGGCTGAGAAGCAGCCCTTGGCCCCCCTCCCACCTGTGCCCAGGCTGAGTCCCCTCGGGGGCACACTGGGCAGAGGCAAAGGGGGCTGGCCCAGGCCCTGCAGAACCAGGTAGGCGGTGCAGGGCAAGGTAAGTTAGCTGCCTTAGAGGGGCCTAGCAGAAAGGGGTCTCCATCTGGCAAACCCCTGTTTGGAGCCACGTCCTAGCATTCCCCAGAGCACCTGGTTAGGATAGGAAGGCTGCGAGCTCTCCAAGGAAAGGGGCTGGGTGCTCTTTGAGGAGGCTGGGTGAGTTCCCAGTGAGCCCCCTGCCAGGAATGGGGCCCCAGCCTGCGAGAACCCTTCCTCAATGCCCCAAGCTTCATCAAGGACAGAGCTAGGCCCCAGCCTGGGGCCTGAGGGGCTGACCTCACCTTCAATTAGGCCTTTTCTGTCTGACACTTGGAGACCTGGCTAGGGCTGGATGGGGGGTGGAGAGTGGGACGGACTGGGGACTGTAAGGAGTCTGGGCCCGGGGACAGGAGGGGTCCGGGCCAGGACCCTCCCGCGCCAGCGGCTAGGCTCTGGAGTTGGGCTGACCTGAGCTGAGCCCCAGGTGGGCCCTTTGGGGCGGGGAGGGAGAGCCCCTCCGCCGCTGGCCGCAGGAGGCAGACGAGGGGTCTGGAATTCCGCTTCCCTCCCTCCACCGCCCCTCCTCACCCTTCCCTCCCTCCACCGCTCCTCCTCACCCATCCCTCCCACCCCCGGGGCTGCGGGCGGGGCGGAGGTGGGGGAGGCGCAGCGGCGGGGGGCTGGAAGGGCGCTGGAGGGGCGCAGGGAGGGGCCGGGCGGCGGGCCCGCGGTGGGCCCCTCGGAGAGGCCCGCGCAGGCAGGCCCCGCCCCGGCCTCGCACATCTGGGCCGGGAGCGCGCGGCCATCCGGCCTGGGGGAGGGGGAGGGGGAGGGGGCGGCGGGCGGGGTGGGCGGCGCGGGGCGAGCCGGAGGCGAGGGCTGGGCGCACGTCGAGGGCTGCGGCCGCCGCGGCGGGGCACGACCACGGGCTGCGGGCCCGGGATCGAGGCGGCTGGACCGAGGTCGAGCTGTCGGGAGGGCGGAGGTGAGTTCTGGGCGGCGGGGGTGGGGGGGCCCCAAAGAAGAGAAAGGCGGGGAGGTGTGCCGTCCTGCCGGTCCCGGGCTGTCGGCCGACACCCCCCCCCCGCCCGCCCGAAAGACTTCCTAACCCTGGGCGGCCGGGCTGGGGACCGATCCTGCAAGCTGTTCCCTCCAGTGGGGCTGCGGGTTCAGAAAAGCAGTTGGAGCGGCGACTGTGGGTTCTCTTCCGGGCTTCGGGACCCCACACCGGCTCTGCCGAGAGTGGGGGCGCTGAGGAGAGCCCTGTGCCGCGGTAGGGGTGGGGCTCGGGGGCTGGAGTGGGGCGGGGGTCTGCTCCAGTAAGCCAGTTTGCGGAGGACACAATACCTACGCTAGACGTGGAGACCTGGAGGTTGAGTGTGTGTGTGGGGGTGGTCACCTGCTGGGGGGAGGGGGTTCCTAGGGCCTGTGGTCTGGGAAGCTCCAGAATGGCAGAGTGGCCAGGATGCTACAGTGCCTGACTGTGGGCAGGCCTCCTGACAGGGACCTCTGGTTTCTTTCTGTGAGGCCGGCTCAGGGGCCCAGGTGGTGTGGGGTCTGGGCTCCCTGCTGGGGCCGTGGAGCCAGCTCGTGTGGGGCAGAGAGACTGGGAGGGAGGGAGCTCTAAAATATGGCTTCCCCGTGAGAGCAAGCGCCCCAGAAGGTGAGGGAGGTGTTGGGGGACTGGTGGGCAGAGGACGGAAGGGGCCTCAGGCCCTGGGCTCAGTGGGACAGAGGTTGTTTGTGAACTGGCTTTGCTGCAATGATGAGGACCCAACCGGGGGGTGGGGCAGGATGTATGGGAAGAAAAGTTGAGGACAGGGAGGGACCATGGGAAGCCATTTATGCCTCCCCCTGCCCCAGCGCAGGAGGAGGCCGCCCCCCATCCCACCCCACAGCCGACTCCTGGTCCCTCTCTTTGAGGGTTCCTCTCCAGAGACAGACTGGGGCAGCCCTTTGGGTGCCATTTCTTGTCTGTCCTTGGCCCTGGTTGGTCCAATCTGTGGCTTGGGAGAAATGCCTGTGGCCTCTCAGACTGCTGACAGGTCCTATTCTGTTAACAAGCTGGCAGGATATTGAGCAGAGAACAGTGGATGGGAGAGGCAGGGTCCAGTGAGAGGAAGCGTGCAAGGGAGGGAGGGGTACTGTAAAGATCTGGGTGGGCTCTTTGTCCTCATGGGCAGAGGACAGGTGTGTGTGGAGCCCTGAAAGCCAGCAACACCACGTTACCTCGGTGCTCTTTGGGGGCATAAGTACCCAGCCTTCACATCCCCTCCCCAGGAAGAGATTCTTGGAAAATGTTCTCCATCAGGCCAGAAGTCCTCGGCTTTTGTGAGTCTGGGAAGCACTCTGGAATGGGAGTCTCCGGTTTGGAGTCCTTGGACTCAGCCACACCCTGTCCTGGCCCCCAGTGACTGATAGGTCATACCTAGTGGGTAGAAGTCAGGGCCAGGGGTCAATGTGAAGCTGAAGATGGGAGATCAGTATGAAGCCGAGGGCTAGGGGTCAGTCCGTGGGAGGGTTAAGGGTCTGCCTGTGAGTAGGGTAGGGGTCAGGCTAGGGCCAGAGTTTAGCCTGTGCTTGTTGCCGGGATATGAAGTTACTTTCTGTGTAAATCAAACTGCCCCACCCAGTTACGCTCAAACCCATAAGCATCACCAGTCTGAAATCAGTGAGCCCCTGGGGTGGGGGTCTACTTCGCTCAATTTCCAGCTGTGGATACTGCCCAGTCATAGCTTTGGGGAACCAGTGTTGTCCTGAGCCTGATAATTAGCATTCTCCTTAAATGTTTCTGGGTGTGAATGCAGGGTGGGGGATGTCCCAAAGACATATAAGCTGCCACCCCCTTCTACTTCCACCTCTCAAGGAATCATCAGGATCCTCCTTCTTTGACACAGATTGATTCAAGTCCTCCCTCCCTCCCTAAAGAACTCAGAATGATTAGAATAAAAGTTTCAATAAGACCAAAAACTTCTGGGGCACTGGGTGGCTCAGTTGGTTAAGTGTCTGCCTTCGGCTCGAGTCATGATTCCCAGGGTCCTGGGATCGAGCCCTGTGTCAGGTTCCCAGCTTGGCGAGCTCCTCCCCCCCTGCCCCCCCGCCAGCTCGTGCTCTCAAATAAATAAATAATATCTTTTAAAAAAAGACCAAAAACTTATAACAAGAGAAAATTCAGAATCTACACCATGAAGGAAAAGAACAACTGCTCACATCTGTCCAAGTCCTGCCTTTATCAACCACCTTCTTTACCTGGACTTGTCATTTTTTTTTTTTTTTAAGATTTTATTTATTTATTTGACAGAGAGAAAGAGAGCGCATACACACAAGCAGGGGGAGCGGCAGAGGGAGAGAGAGAAGCAGGCTCTCCGCTGAGCAGGGAGCCCAATGCAGGGCTCAGTCCCAGGACACTGGGATTATGACCTGAGCCGAAGGCAGACGCTTAACCGACCCAGCCACCCAGGTGCCCCTGAACTTGTCAGTCTTAACAAGCCCCCTGTGTGACCCACTTTACAGGAGAGACACTGAAGCAGAGAGAGATGACATGATGCACTCTGGCCAAATGCCATAATAGGCCCTTGCCTGCCCTGAGACCCCCGAGTAGGAGCACTCTGTGCCCACATACTCAGAGATGGGAGATAACTGAAGCAGCTCCAGATAGCTGGGAGGATTGTAGGCACACAGTTTGGACATGGAATCCAGCTTAGAGTGATGACTCCGGAGTCTTTTTTTCCTGGTGGTTCTAGATTGATTCTCCTCCAAATACAATAGCGTTGGTCCAGAAAATCCATTCATTCATTCAACCACTTAGCACAGAGCCTGCCACAAAGAAATGCTCAGTGTTGGCTGAAGAATCGAAACAATGTACACACAGGATTGTCAGCTTCTCCCTTGTGGACTTGATGCAGCTGTGTGCTGGTAAATGTTTTACCATCAACTCTATCAGAGGGAGAAAACCCCAATTTATAGTGTTTGCCAGTTTCTGTGGTGTAAATGCTTCCATCATGGCTGATTTCAAGTTGCCCATGTCCTGTCAATGAATATAGAGTTGGGAAGAGATACAGACTCAGCTCTTGGGGCAGGGGAGAACCACCTCCCGAACACCACTCCCTCCCCCTGAGCTGAGCCCCTGTCCTGGCTCTCAAGGCTCATACCCACGCCCGATATTTGCTTTCCCTTTTCTTAGCACCACCCTGCTGCTCTGAGTGTCCACAAGCAGCCCCTAACTTTCCCGTGATTCTCATTCCTGGGCGTCCAACAGAGCGCCTCCGCTGATAGCAGGATTGCATGTGTCCGGAAATCTCTATGGTGCTGGCCATGGGGGAGTATTCTGGACGTGTCTGAGTGTCCGTCCTCCCTGGGCTGGGCTGTGTCAACTGTGTGTGAGCAAGGGTGTGTGCATGCGTGTGATTGCATGTGATGGTGCCCAGACCTGTGTCTGCCTGTGTTCTGTTAGCAAAGCCTCCTGATCAGGCCACTGACTACAGAGAGGGAGTGGGCTCTGAGCAGCCTCACCTTTGTTTGGGGGGGCTGCCAGGCCCACAGCTGAGGACAATAGCATGGGTGTTGACTGGCCCAGGGACACGTCGAGTGGCACCTCTCAAACTCGACTGTGCCCAGAACCACCTAGGATCTTGTTAAAATGCAAGTACTGACTCAGTAGTTCTTGGGCAGGGCCTGAGGTTCTGCATTTCTGACAGCTCCCAGGGGCTGCAATGCTGCTGCCTCTAGCCTGGCCCCTAGAACTTCACAGACACAAACTCAGGTTCCTCCCATCTTAGAGAAGAAAATGAAAACCCATCCTCCCCTCCTCAGGCTTTCTGTTCCTCCAGCTACTACCTTCACACCAGCCCCTGCTGTCAGCCAAGCTTCTTGGAAGTGCCCACTGCGTTCTCCTCCCCTCTGCTCGCTCCTTGCCTAGGCTCCCTTGACTTCTACCCCATCTCCATCATTCTGCCGAAATGCTGGCCCTGGGCCATTAAAACAGGTGTTTTGAGGCTCATCGAATAACCTCTAAAGGCATCTAGCTTCAGGCGCATCTCTTAGATCTGAGATCTTCCCGGAACCATAGCAGGCATCCAGTCTCCTCGGGCAGCCCGCCTTCCTCCAGCCAGCTTTCTGTGCTGGTGCTCCCTTCTTTTCCCCCACGATTCCCCGCCAGGCCTCCAGTGACCGTGACTCCCAAATGCGCCTCTCCACCTCCGCTTTCTCTCTGACCTCTGCATCATACATCATCTGGCTCCTCGGTCTGTTCTCTTGGCAGTTGCAAAACTGCACCCAGAACTCTGCCCCTTGCCCCTGCCAGCCCCACCTTTGCCAGTGTCCACCTCACTGTCCACCTCCTAGCTCGAATTGGACAATGTCACCCTTGACATCTTCTTCCTAAGCCCCCATATCCAATCCAGCCATCTTCCACAGAAGTCAGCCCTGTTGGTTTTAACCTCTGATTTCAGAACTCCACTTCTGTCTCAAGACACACAGCCACCACCATCCTCTGTCGCCTGGAGCCCTGATAGGGCTTGTGCTTCCCTGCCTCCTGTTGTAATCTGTACCCTCCATACAGCCAGGGGGCTTTTTAAAATGCAGGGTTAGTCACGCCCCCACCTCTGCTCTGGTACTTCAGCCTTTCCAGATCTGCTGTTGCCCTTCATATAAAACTGGATCTGAAATAGGGGCCCCAAGGGGCGCCTGGATGGCTCAGTCGTCTGCGTTTGGCTCAGGTCATGATCTCAGGGTCCTGGGATCGAGCTCAGCAAATCGGGCTCCCTGCTCAGCGGGGGGAGTCTGCTTCTCCCTGCCCCCTGCCTCTCCCCCCTGCTCATGCTGTCGCTTTCTCTCAAATAAGTAAAATCTTCAAAAATAAAATAAATAAATAAATAAATAAATAAATAAATAAATAAATAAATAAATAAAATAGGGTCCCCAGGGGCCTGCCTACAGGATCAGCCCAGCCCAGCCAGGCCCAGCCTCTCTCTCCAGCCGTACCAAGCCTTTCTGCCTGGTTTGTATCCAGCTGTGACCTTGACAGCATCGTTTGTAATCTCAAATTCACTTGGGTGATTATCTGACTATAATCAGTTTCCCCACCAGGCTGTGGGCCTCCAGGGCAGGAACAGTGTCTCTCTGGGTCGCTGATGTCCGCAAGCACCTGGCACAGAGTGGGCACCTGAAAACATTTAGGAGTATCCTGGTTCCAACAAAGCCACTGTTAAGTTTTTGAGACAAGCGGGGACTGTGGGGCTGAATGTTAGATGAGCCTGAGGACTTACTGTTAATATTGTTACACATGAGGTTGCTGTTGTGACGATGTTTTTAAAGTCTTTATCTGTTAGTGGGATGTACTGAAGAATTTATAGGTGAAACAACATGACGCCTGGGATTCGCTTCAAAGGGCTCCAGCCAAAAGTAAACAAATAAAATAAATAAGCATTCAGAGAGGAAACAAAGGAACAAATAAATGCCGTTCTGTTTGTCTGTTCCTGCTCACAGTCACAGGGCCTGCAAAGATGCTGGCTGTCCCGGACATGGGCCTGCAGGGGCTGTACATCGGTAAGACTCTCCCCTGCCCCCCCCCACAACCTTGGCCCTGACCCACCACCCCACTCACCCTGGCACCGCGACCCACCCCCAGTCTGCACATGGGGTGCCTCTCCCAGAAGAGGTTGCTGAGCGAGTGTGTCTGTGCAGGGGGGGTTGGTGCACACAGGACTGTGTATGTGAGCGTGTGTCTGTGAGTGTGTGTGTGCACAGTGGGTCTGTGTGCCCAGGACTGAATGCGTGTGCATGTCTTGAGCAGGGTCTGTGTACATGGGACCTGGTATGAGTGTGTGTGTGTGTGTGTGTGTGTGTGTATCTGCTTGCGGGCAGGTCTCTGTGTGCAAGGCCTTGTGTAAGAGTGTATATATTGGCAGGTGGCTCTGCATGCACAGAATTCTGCATGTATACATCCGCATCTGCCTGTGGCCGGGTCTGGGAGCAGGCTCTGCGTTCTCTGCAGGGGTGGCAGGCCAGGAGGCAGGAGGGACACTCCTCAGGAAGTCCATTAACAAAGACCTGGTGGGCTGGGCCTTCCTTCCTGCCTCCCTTCCCAGGCTCAAGCCACAGCAACTCAGCCCCTCGGGCTGGAGCTGGTGGCAGGGCCCAAGCCTGTGCCGGCTGCCTAGAAAAAAGGAGCCCTGGGAGAGCCATCCCCCTACCCTGCCCCTCCAACACCTCCAGACAGACTCTGGCCCGGTCCAAGCACTTCCTTGAGTCCCCCTCATGCCTCACATATGTTCCCACATACCCCAAGGCCAGGGAAACTGGGACCAGTCAGGGCTCGGGGCAGGATAGCTGCTGAAGGAACACAGGCCCCGGGGCCCTGGCTCAGCCTAAAGCCAGCCAGACCAGTTCGACGCGTCCGCAGGTCTTCACACCAGACCCCATCAGCCTCCTGGGCCACCTTCCTGTCCCCACACCTGAATCTCAGGGCAGCCCCAGTACCCCCCACAGGGGCCTTAGCAGAGTCCAGTGTGGTGGTGATAAGCCACCAGCCCACACCTAGGGATGACCAGCCAGGCAGGCCCTTAAGCTGTGTGATCCTTCAAGCCAGGCTTTGGGCTGCCTTCTGGAGCTGCTGTGCTTCCTCCCAGCAAAGGTCCAGCTCAGTCCTGCGTCTTTGAGAGGGTTTCAGTGGGGCCTCCTGCCCCCAAATGCTGGCTCCAGGTTTCTGTGTGTCATGGGGAAGGGAGGCTCAGAATCCAACTTCCTAGTGTGGTGGACACCCCCCAGCTCAGGGCTGGGCTGGGGGAAGTGCTATTCCCCTTCTCGATCCTCACCAGCTAGGCCTGTCCTTCGCCCTTGGTGGAAGGAGGGAGGAAGGGAGGGTGGCTCCTTTGGGTCCTGATTAGAACCATGTGGCCAAAGTCTACGAGGGAGGGGAGCAGCCCTACCTCCTGCTCAGTTCTGTCTGCAGTTCCCCACCTTTTCTGGTTTCTCTACCCTCCACCCTCACCTCCACCCCAGGAGCCCACCCACCCCATCTCTCCTGCCCTTCTCTCTCTGGACTCAGTCTCCCCATCCCCCATAATGCTTCTCTGTCTCTCCCCTCCCCTGCTGTGTCTGAGGTATGTTGGGGAGACGAGGAGTCACCAGGTGAGGCGTGGGTCACCCTTCAGGGGGAGGTTACCTCAAATTGATAACAGGCCCTCAGTCTGCCCCCGCCTCCACTAGTCCTCCTCCCCCAGCAGGGTGCCCCTTGCCTCAGCACAGCAAGGACTAATGGAGAACCTCCCAGTGCCCAGCCACCAGCCCCTACCCTGATTGTGCCGGAGTGACTTGCCCTCTCTTTGCAGGCTCCAGCCCCGAGCGGTCCCCTGTGCCCAGCCCACCTGGCTCCCCAAGAACCCAGGAAAGTTGTGGCATTGCCCCACTCACACCCTCGCAGTCTCCAGTAAGCCTGGGAGCAGGGATCCCGGTGGTGGGTGGCTGGGTGCTATGGAGAAGGGTTGTGCTCCAGAGAACTTAGCCTGGTGTCCGGCAGAGCCCTGGCAGGGCCCGGGCTGGGCTGGGGTGGCGCCATGCCTCTTGCCCCTGCACACTCCAGTTATGTCTTCCCCAGAAGACAGCCTCAGGTGAGCTTGGACTGTAGGGGTAACAGTTCTACTCGGGTGAGCCCCACGTAACTAACACCCGAACAGCCCCGCTCCAGGATGCCATCCATGGACCAGAGCCTGCCTAGGGCAGGGAGACTTCTGAGCATGTAGTTACTTCAGGTCCTCAGAGCAGCGGGCCTCCCAGAGCTGCTCCCCCTCCTGTCGACCACAGCCCTCCCTGAATTCAAGTTATATCTGGGGAGGACAAGACACATTGCTAAAAATTAGTTTGGAAACTACTAGTTTGAAGTATCCAGGATATAAACCTCCCTCAAACTCCCTGGGTCACCCCACCCATGATGGCCTCACCCTAATGATCCAGCCTGGGGATCCCCTTGTTCTCAGGGAGACCAGGCCTGGCCTGGGAGAAGGAAGGAACCACGGTGGGCCTGTGCACAGGCCTTTCTCCTCTGCCATAAAACCAATGGAGTCTGGTTGTCTCACTGTGGCCACAAAGATCTGGGGGGTCAAATATACACAGGTCCATGTGTTACTGAAGCTGCCCTCAGGAGCTGTGAGGGGGTTGGGGCTCAGGCTGGCCAGGCAGAAGGCAGGCAGAGAACCCAAAGAGGAAAGCAGGAGCTTAAGCCAAAAGCTGCAGAGGGCGACCTGAGAGGCCTTGGGATTCTGAGCAGTTGGCTGCTCTGGGGCTCAGCCTGGAGCCTGGGAAGGGGAGGGGAGCCCGGGCAGGTGACTGGGGCAGGGCAGTCTGGACCACAGCCAGAGGAGAAGAGGGGCTCAGGCATGCAGCCCTTGGCTGCTGCCTAACTCTGGGTCTCGCCCTCACAGAAGCCCGAGGCCCGGGCCCCCCAGCATGCTCCCTTCTCCGTGGTGGTGGCCATCGACTTTGGCACCACCTCCAGTGGCTATGCCTTCAGCTTTGCCAGTGATCCTGAAGCCATCCACATGATGAGGTGAGGGTGGCTGGGCTGGGAGATGGGGGCGGGGGTCCTCACTCCCTGGGATGGGCCTGGTCTCAGAAGGACTGTCACTGAGGACACATGGAGTCTGCCCAGAGCTCCCTCCATCCCCAGCACACATGCATATATGCACATATATGTGTTTTTTAAATAAAAGTGGGATATCCTATAACTTGCCTTACTTTAAACTTTCAACATTATTTTGTAGATGTTTCATGTCAACACATAAAGCCACAATTTCTCTTCTTTCTTTTTTCTTTCAAATCCGCCTGCTTTATTTTTTCTTTAAAGAGGAAAAAGATAAAGGAAACGAGCAAACAACAAAAGCAAGGCAGCCGCCCGGCTCCCTTGAGCTCTGGGCACGCATCTTGGTTGACAGGCCTGTTCTTCCTATCAGCTCCTATTGAAGCCACAATTTCTTTTAATAGTTGTGTAGTGTCCCACCGTACAGATGTGTCATGATTCGTCCATTTTTCTATTGATGGTTTTGGGAGGTTTCTTCCCCTCTAATTGTTCACTATTACAAAAAGTGCTGCGATGAATAGCCTTCCTTGAAAACCTGTGCTGGGATTTGTGTGCGGGGGACAGGCAGATTCCTAGGCTGAACACCTCAGTGAAGGACAAAGACGTGAAAGATCAGAGGGTTCGCTGAGTTAACAGGTCACACAGTTGTTAGGAAAGAGATGGGCAAAAAACCCATTCTGATGTAGTCGAGCTTTATTTGAACAGTACATTTTTTTGACACTCCCCTCTAGGCCTCAAGACCCTGATCCTTTGAAGGATCAGGATTCTTAGTGAAGCTGCAGCCAGTAGGTGGAAGACCCTTCTAGAAGATCCCAAAGCTCCAACCCTGACTGGGATTGGGGAGCCGAGGGGCTTCCCAAGGCCTGGGAGGGTAGATGGCAGGGTGGATGGAGAGACAAATGTAAGGGTCACTTCCCCAAAGATACAAAGGACTTCAGCTGCATAAGCATGAACTGTCCTTCCCCCTTCCCTGCTCTGTCCACATCCACATAAGGCCACAAAGGCTCTAGGCACTTACAGCCCTCTAGGAGCTGCAGGGCATCCCAGCTGGCATGCTCATCAGCACACATGACAGAAACCATGCTGGACTCTATGCTGGGGCTGAGGACCAAGAAAGGACGCTGTCTTGTGGAGGGCACAGTCACAGGAAGTAACTGGAGGGTATCCTGGCTTCCTCCCAAACCCTCCCCACCCCTACTAGCCACCAAGACCTGCCATTTCTATCTCCCTAATATCTCTGGAACACCCAGTCACTTCTCTCCATGGCCACCACCCCTAAGTTCAGCCCCACCCTCTCTCTCCTGGATGGTAGCAATATCCTCCTCTCTGGTTTTCCTTCTCCATTTTTCCTCCCCTCCAGGCTGTTGCCACATGGAGACCAGTGACCTTCTTTCTATTTCTTTTCTTCCTTTCTCTTCCTATTTTTTTTTTTTTTTGACTGGGCTAAGTGGCTTTATTAGCAAAAGCCAGGATTACAAAGGACTTGAGTTGGCACTGGGGCCCTTCTTCTTGCCAAAGGCGGGCACAGCATTAACAAACACTGGTTCTGCACCCACTGCTTGGCCTGGCCTGTCTTCTTTTTCTCCTGTTTGGCCACTTTGGGTCTGCCCTCTTACTCTCCCAGCGCGGCCCAGGGAACCATGGACTTTACCTCCAAGCATGTGGATGGTTACTTCCAGAGTGATCAGAGCCTCCTCCCCACACTGGCCCTGGTAGCTTCATCGTCTAGAGGTGTGCCTGCCAGGAGCAGGACTTGACTTCCTTGGAGTGATGCCCTCCAACAAGTCTGTGTGAGCCTTGATCTGGGCTATCGTGCCCTGGCCAGTCACCTCAAGGGTGTGTGGCTCCTGGGCGTGAACAGAAAGCTGTGTACCAGCAACTGAATGCTGGTAACCGTTGCTGCCGCCACAAAGATCAACCAGTGACCTTTCTAATGGCAGATGTAGTCATGATTCCTCATTCTTCTACTTAAAACCCATCAAGACAGAATTCAGATATGGCATTTGATGCTCTTCCTTAGCTGACTTTAACATTCCTGCGTTTTCTCCAGCTGCACCCCGAGCCAGCCTATAGCTGGTTCTCCCGGCTCTTTCACACCTCTAAACTTTTGCACATGCTGTTCCTTCTGCCTGGATTCCCAGCTCCTTCCCCCAAAGGCTGCAGGGTCGAGCTTGGCCTAGAGGGGTCAGCGCATCAGAGAAGGCAGAGGAAGGGGAGAAAGAAGTTGCCAAGCCAATGAACTAGATGGGGAGTTCTGGGTGGAATTCCAGATGGCACCTGCAGATGGGGAGGTTTGGAATCTCGTTCAGGTTTTGGGGTCCTGCTGGAGGTGCAGTTAACTGGGTGTAGCTGCCAAGGTGGGTCAGATAGGAATGATCGATGCCTTGAAGGAGCTTGGCGGTGGAAGGTAGCCCAGAGAAGGGCAAACCGTCTGGCTGGGAGAAAGCCTCTGCGAGGGTCCTCTAGGGGTACATCAGGAGGCCAGACCCAGGCAGGTGGATGATGGCTTGCTGCTGCTTAAGAGTACAGGGAGGTGAAGTCCAACGGTGTACCTCATGGGAGGAAGCAGGAGCTGAGGATGTTGATGGGTCCTGTGGCCCCATGGATAGGCAGGATCCCATGAGCAGCATTTATGGAGATTTAAGGGGATGCCAAGCACCATCTTCACAAGACCCCGTAGGAGGTAGGTACCATTATTATTTCCATATTACATGTAGGAAAGCCTGGTGGCCTGCCCAAGGTCACACAGCTGATACCAGAGCCGGGTACCCAACCCCACGAAGGGAGGGTTTCGCCGACCACAATGACAGCCCTGTGCCTCCACAGGAAATGGGAGGGCGGGGACCCAGGAGTGGCCCACCAGAAGACCCCCACCTGCCTGCTTTTGACCCCGGAGGGCGCCTTTCACAGTTTTGGCTACACCGCCCGCGATTACTACCACGATCTGGATCCTGAGGAGGCGCGGGACTGGCTCTACTTCGAGAAGTTCAAGATGAAGATCCACAGCGCCACTGTAAGGCACATTCCGGCTCGGGGCCGCTCCAGCCAGGGGGGCGGGGCCAGGAGTAGAAAGGGAGGGGCTCACGCAGGGAGAGCAATGGTAAAAGGTGAGGAGAGGTTGAGGGGGCGGCGCTAGGGGGTGAGGCCAGGATTAGAGGAGAGGAGGGGCTCACGAGAGGGGCTGGGGACAGAACTAATGTGGGATTAGCGAGGACACTCCAGAGGGGAAGCCGCAGAAAATGGGGTGATTTTCAGAGAGGGGTCGTCAGGAAGTGGGGGCAGAGCTATGGCCTTCTGCAGAATTGCCTATGACCCTGCCAGGATCTCACCCTGAAGACCCAGCTAGAGGCTGTAAATGGAAAGAAAATGCCTGCCCTGGAGGTGTTCGCCCATGCCCTGCGCTTCTTCAAGGAGCATGCCCTTCAGGTGCGCTGCGGCCCCATCCCTGCCCACCGGGGCAGGGACCCCTAGGTCCATCGTCTCCTCTCAGCCTATCCAAGAGGGGTCAGAAATCATCTTCTCCAGCCCCTGCCTTCCCATCAGATGGAGCCTGCATGGGACATACAGGTGTTGCGGGGGGGGTGGGGGCGGCGTTAGGAATCCCTCCAACTCAGCTGGGAAGTCCTTCCTGAGGCTTGATTAGCAACTCCAGCTCCCATACATAGAAGGCTGAAGATACCCACCCCCAACCCAAGCTAGCCTACCCCTCGCTGCCCCCTCCTGCTGCAGGAGCTGAGGGAGCAGTGCCCATCGCTGCCAGAGAAGGACACTGTGCGCTGGGTGTTGACGGTGCCCGCCATCTGGAAACAGCCTGCCAAGCAGTTCATGCGTGAGGCTGCCTACTTGGTGAGGACGGGCAGGCAGAGCAGGGGGCGTCACTCGGGAGGGCTCCAGGGAGGCCCCCAAGACCCTCCTTTACCCACCACCCTTGGGACCAGCCATTGCATAAAGAACTCTGGCCTTCCCCTGCTGGGCATTTTGGAGGATTGTTGCCACCAGGAGAGGGTGTGAGCCTGCAGGAACAGAGAGCAGAGGGGATGAGAGGCACAGCCCAGGCCAGCTTAGCCGGTGTCTTAAGTCAGGTTTCCTAGAAGCAGAGCGCAAGATAGGGACTCTTGTGCATGCGGCGTATTGAAGAAGGGCTCTCAGGAGAAAGAGTGAGGGAAATGGACAGGAGAAAGAGCCGAGCAGGAACGTGGTCTCAGCTAGAGTCTAGCTTCAGCCTGATCCCATGGAGAGGACGGGAGGAAGAGTTGTACCCAGCAGTTGACCACAGTGAGGCAAGGCGTTTGGCTTTTTGTGTATCCGTATCAGCCTGTCATTGGTTCCCGGGGGTGTGGGGGAAACTTCTCCAAGTGAGGTGGTTTCCATTCAGCTGAGGGCAGTTCTCCAGAGAAGGGGGCAGCTGGGAGCCAACACACAGTAGCCGGGCAGGGCACCAAGAACATCCGCTTCAGCCAGCACCAGTATTTTCCAGGGACTCCACCACCACGGAGCCCCAACCACTGTCAGTCTTTGAGCAGGAGAAACAGAGCAATGAAACTATGAAGGGAGGTGATTTGGACCAATGCTTGCTGGGTTTCCTACCGTTAAGAGATGCCCAAAGGTCTGGAGAATGCGGGGGCGCACAACTCAAGTCCCCCCACCTCCAGTGAGATGGGGGAAGGGGAGCAGAGCCTCCCAGAGAAGACTGATGGCTTGGTCCTCCCCCTGGGACCTTGGGGGTCACCCGAGGACCTCCCAAAGGCCTGCCGGTGCACCCCCTGGAAGATACCAGAGCCCCCAACCCCCACACACATGTGGGCCAGGCATGCCCCAGGTGCCAGGTCTGTGGGTGCCTACACTTGTCACCGGAAGGAGCTAACCCTGAGGTAGTGGGCATCCCCCCTGCAGAGGCCAGGATGAAAGCAAGGCTGTGCCCAGCCAGAATAAACACCCCACCCAGTGCCCCTGCCGGTTTATCCACCCTGCTTCCTCCCACACTGGTCCCAGGCTGCCAGTTCAGGAAGGGCTGGCCCTGGGCGGGAAGTCTCCATACCCACCCATCCCCAACCCCCACCTGCTCAGAATCCAGGGAATCCCACAAAACCATAAAGTACTTCCCACAGGGAGAGGGATCCCCTGTCCTGATACAGGAAGTAACAGATCCCAGGTGTTTTTCTCCCCGCAACTGGCCTGTCCTGGTGTCTGCAATTTCACTGTTTGTCTCTTGGTGCCTATATCCGATTCTTGGGGAACAAAGTTCTCCTGGGAGTGGGGAGTGTGGCTACTGTCTGACACCAGCCTGGTGAAGGAAGAGGGTTCAGTGAGCCGAAGGGGACCTCCCTACACACACACCATCTGCTCTAATTGGTGATCTGGCCATTACAGCCCCATACACACTGTGCTAGAGTCTGGACTAACACCCTCAGCCGGTGCGCAGCTGGCCAGCCCTGCACCTGTGAAGGGGACCTTGCCAGAGCCTGGGCCACCCTGGGCAGCTTGGAGGGGCAGATCCCAGGTGCTCTAGGTTTTCAGTGTCTAGTCTCTCCCTGCTGGGCTACCCCCATGGTATTCTTGGCCGTGGCCGTGCCCCTCCCCAGGCTGGTCACAGGGTAGCTGTGAGGCAGCTCCAAATTTGTGCAGCATGGAGGGGCGTGAGAGGCCTACCATGGCTGGGGTGTGATGGGGAGGAGGTGGGGAGCCCCACAGGCCCTGGCTGCCTGCCCAGAGGTGCCATCTGAGGTGTGACACTTGGCCCATGGAGCTCCCTGGCCCTGCCCACCGCCTATCCCCAGGCTGGCCTGGTGTCCAGGGAGGATGCAGAGCAACTCCTCATCGCCCTGGAGCCAGAGGCTGCCTCTGTCTACTGCCGCAAGCTGCGTCTACACCAGCTCTTGGACCTAAGCAGCCGGGCTCCAGGCAGTGGACGCCTGGGTGAGCGCCGCTCCATCGATTCCAGCTTCCGGCAGGGTGAGCTGCCCCGAGGGGCACTGCCCAATGGTATGACATTTGCCCTGGGAGGGTCAGAGGGACACTGAGGCCAGAGGCTCGGCCATGTCCAACATGAAGAGGAGACAACCCCCTCCCCCATTCCAGCCCAATCTGAGAGGGCAGAAACATTTCTGGTGGACTTCAGTCTGAGGGAGGAGGCACGGCCCTGACCTGGGGCAGCGCAATCTGAGGACAGAGATCTCACCTTGCCCTAGGAGATCATTGTCTGAGGAGGGCAGGACTCAGCCCCAGTCCTGAATCTGAAGGTAGGGGAAACAACCTGTCCCGAGGGGAGGTGCTGACAAAGGAGGAAGTCAGCCCCCACTCTGAGCCAAGGTGGTGTTCAAGAGTTTTCTCTGCAGCAGCCCCTGAATCAGCCATGTCCCATCCTGGTACATAGCTGTCATCCCCGTTCCCCCCACAATAGCCCCGAGCTCCTGCTACCAAGCTCAAGCCCCAGTGCCAGGACTGGGCAGAGACAGCTGTGGTCAATCTTAGTCACTCTCCCAGATGCCACCTCCCATGACTAGAAGAGGTCCCAAATCCTGGGCTCCCCTGGATCCCCCAGGACCTCCTCCCCCGGCCACACACAGGTCCTCCAAACCGTCCTAACCCCAGTTTTGCCCTGCCGTGAGCCGGCCTGCATTAAGGGAATGTCCTGCAGCCAGAAATACTTCTCCTCAGCTGTTGGTCACAACACCGGAGCATACCCCATCAGGTTTTTCTGGACCCTTTGAGGTTCAGGACTGCCTTCTCCTAGTTAGGAGTAGAGCAAGAGTTTCAGGAGAACTGGCTGGTCCAGATGCTCATGGAGGGTGCTGGTGAGAGGGTGGGGGTCGAGCGTGGTAGCTGAGGCACCTCCTTCTAACCCCACTGTCCTGCTGTCCCTCGACCCCCAGCCCGCGAGCAGCTGCGCCGGTCCCGCCACAGCCGCACGTTCCTGGTGGAGTCTGGCGTCGGAGAGCTGTGGGCAGAGATGCAAGCAGGTGGGGAAGGAGGGACGGAGGGGCGTTTCTCGGGTCCTGCGGGGAACATACACTGATGGGGGCAAGGAAACATTCGCGAAGTGGGCTCTAGACCCTAGAAACCCCGCCCTTACTCCTCCATCAGCTGCACCTAACCTGGCAGTCACGGTCACCTGCACCCCCACACCACTCAGCCGCGCCCCTGACTCCCACTTCTCCTGGGGATTCTCCACGGATGAAGTTGCAGAATCCTGGAAACACTTTCCCCCAAAACCTTGCGTCCCTACCCGGTAGCCTAAGGTTTAAGCCCTTGGAAGCCCCTTATAGCTACTCCCACCCCCATCCTCCCCGCAGGCAAGGCTCGGGTCTGGGACAGGGCTGGGGCCTGAGGGCTGGGTGAATCTGGAAGGGCAGCAGAGCTGAGGGTGCAAAGCGGGCCAGGAGTGTGTGCTCACGCTCGCCGCCGCAGGAGACCGCTACGTGGTGGCAGACTGCGGAGGAGGCACTGTGGACCTGACCGTGCACCAGCTGGAGCAGCCACATGGCACCCTCAAGGAACTGTACAAGGCATCTGGTGAGTAGCCCGTCAGGCAGCACCCTTGGTACCGAGCGCGCCAGGGCCCCGCCAACGTCCCCTGGCGGCAGACTCTGCACTGACTCCCCCTCTACCCCTTGCCCGACCCCAGGCGGCCCCTATGGCGCGGTGGGCGTGGACCTGGCCTTTGAGCAGCTGCTGGGCCGCATCTTCGGCGAGGACTTCATCACCACCTTCAAAAGGCAAAGGCCGGCAGCCTGGGTGGATCTGACCATCGCCTTCGAGGCCCGCAAACGCACGGCGGGCCCGCACCGCGCAGGGGCGCTCAACATCTCGCTGCCTTTCTCCTTCATCGACTTCTACCGTAAACAGCGAGGCCACAACGTGGAGACAGCCCTGCGCCGGAGCAGGTGGGTCCGGGGACCACGGACTCAAGCACGGTTTGCGGATGGGGAAAGCCCCTGCAAGGGAGGGTGTTGGCCCGAGTCTGCCCCACCTGCCCCGTGCACATTTCTTGCCAGGCGACAGCAGGAGAGGGGCATGAGCATTCCAGCTAGAATCCGCGGCCGGAACTGGAGCGAGGGTCATCTTTCTCCTCCCCGCACCGCGGCAGCCCCCCCGCCCACACACACACCCCGTGCCAGCCAGTGTGCCTTGGTTCTTCTGCCCGGAGACAAAGGGAGGCTCCTCTCCTGGGGCTTCATGCCTGGAACTGGAGCAGGCAGGCGCCTAAAGCCCCTGAGGGAGTGGGGCTGGGAGAACACACAATATGCAGTCAGTGCCCAGGCCCACTGGCCTGGAGCAGAGGTAGAACCCCAGACCCCGACCGATAAGCCTGTGCCCCCTTCACCAACAGCGTGAACTTCGTGAAGTGGTCCTCGCAGGGGATGCTCAGGATGTCTTGCGAGGCCATGAACGAGCTCTTTCAGCCCACGGTCAGTGGGATCATCCAGCACATAGGTGAGTGCCTGAGCTTGAGTCCTCCACTGACCCCCACATTCACACTCAGATGCAGGAATGATTCCTCCCCATTAGTGCCTGGAAGCCTCCACCCATCCATACACTGGAATGAGACCCAGAATCGCCTGAAACACCTGGAGGACACAGTGTCGTGGGTATTAAGAACTCGGAGGGATTATGTGTATAGTCTCTCTTCTGACTGTGAAAGAACCCCTGATGCCTCGGTTTCCTTATTTATAAAATGGGGTGATAGTATTGGGTCCCCAAAACTGTCATCCCAGGGAGCTGAAATACTAGAGATGTGCACACAGTCGGCAGGAGGCACTTAGTACATGAAAATGCATATCCTTATCTGGCCCTCCACGTCGTGGTGCGAAGAGGAGAAGGGGGGTAGAGTGTCGGGGGAAGCAGAGCCCATGAAGACTGCCCGAAGCACTCAATGAAAACTCTGTGTTTTTCTTCCTCCGAACCTGGCTACCGTTTTAGGGTGACGGAACCAGTTTCTAGTTGCCAGCTGGGTACAGGATGGAGGAGGGGAGGTGCCTGTGGCCGCAGGGCGGCGGCCTAGGCCGGTGCACTCTCTCACCTCGCGTTCCCTCCTTCCCCCCCGCCCCCTCCCGCAGAGGCGCTTCTGGCGCGGCCCGAGGTGCAGGGCGTGAAGCTGCTCTTCCTGGTGGGCGGCTTTGCGGAGTCGGCCGTGCTGCAGCACGCGGTGCAGGCGGCGCTGGGCGCCCGCGGCCTGCGCGTGGTCGTCCCGCACGACGTGGGCCTCACCATCCTCAAGGGCGCGGTGCTGTTCGGGCAGGCGCCGGGCGTGGTGCGCGTGCGCCGCTCGCCGCTCACCTACGGCGTGGGCGTGCTCAACCGCTTCGTGGCCGGGCGCCACCCGCCCGAGAAACTGCTGGTCCGCGACGGCCGCCGCTGGTGCACCGACGTCTTCGAGCGCTTCGTGGCCGCCGAGCAGTCGGTGGCCCTGGGCGAGGAGGTGCGGCGCAGCTACTGCCCGGCGCGGCCGGGCCAGCGGCGCGTGCTCATCAACCTGTACTGCTGCGCCGCCGAGGACGCGCGCTTCATCACCGACCCGGGCGTGCGCAAGTGCGGCGCGCTCAGCCTCGAGCTGGAGCCCTCCGACGGCGCGTCCCCCGGCCGCCGCGAGATCCGCGCCGCCATGCAGTTTGGCGACACCGAGATCAAGGTCACCGCCGTCGACGTCAGCACCAATCGCTCCGTGCGCGCCGCCATTGACTTTCTTTCCCACTGAGGGCGCGGGCGCCGTGCCAGCCCCATCCCCGCCCCGTGCCAGGCCCCGCCCTGTTGCGGTCAGGGCGGGGGGGAGTCTGGGGCTCCGGCTCGCGTGGACAGAGCTGCTGGTTCTGAAGTCAGCCCTTCTTCCCCCGCCCTCCTGTCTGGGGAGATGAGGTCGCAGGATGGGTAGGGACAAACTCTCGCTTTGGAATTGGGCCCGGGTCGGCTGACTGGAAGGCCGAAGAGCCCTGCCAAGGGCTGAGATCAAAGAGTCAGAAGAGGTTTGTAAGACGGTGCGCCCACAGGGGGCACGTGACCCCGAAGGCAGAATGCGCCAGAAGCCCAAGCCCTGGCCTGAACTGGGGGGGGGGGGGCGGTGGGAAGTGGAGGCAGCTGGGAGAGGCGGAGCAGGGCCGCTGCAGGAGGGGCAGCAGGAGGACAGAGGATGTGCAGCGCTTGGGCCTGAAGGGCCCAGTGCATGGATTGATAGGCTCAGCCAGCACAGGGCGCTGGGCAGAGAGGCCCTATGGCGCAGAAAAATGGCTGGAGGCTGGCACAAGCAGCACAGGGGTACAGGACCTTCCTGGGTGTGGTACTGACCACCCAAGTGTGACTGTTAATTTTTAAACTTTCTCAATTAACAGGCTAAAGAGGAGGATGCAGGATGAAGGCACTTATGAGAGGATGTAGGGGGAGCTTGCTGTGGGGGCCTTCCTTCAGGACAGATAATTCATCTGAGAAGGCCCCAAGAGCAGCCCATGAATGACCCACATGTACCCTATCCCAGCCACCGAAGGGCAGTGGGGGTTGGGGGGCTGTCGAGAGACAGAAGGAGAACTAAGGGCTGATCCTGGTTCTGCCATCAACTCACTATGCCATTGGAACATTCCCTGCCCCCCCCCGACCTGCAACTGCCCCACCTGCCTGAGAACCCTAAGGTGAAAATAAAGCATTTATGCTTAAGGTGAAAGTATAGCCTGCTGGTACCTCACAAAAGGGGACCCCAACAGAGTAGTGGAGGCGGGGCTGGGTTCAAAAAAGGGAGAGTGCTTTCAGCTCCGCGCAGAGCCGGGAACTGCCCAGAAGGGGGTGCTGCTCTCTGTCAAACGTCCCAAACAGACCTCCTCACTCCCTAAGACTTCCCGTCTGGCCTAGGCAGAAGGCCCTCCCCATCCCAACTCTAGTCAACTATTCCCAGGCCTAAAATACCAAGCGTGCATACTTCTTTTGGGGTCAGGTGCTAGAATACCATCAAGTGCCCCTTCCTCCTAAAAGAATGATACAGCCAAAAGTGTTCCTTAGCCCATCTGCGGCGGATTGGGTGTTCTCAGAGCCCTGGAGAACAAACACTGGTTGGCCTCTGGTATCCACTGAAAGTTTTATTTCTTTAGGGTTTTATCCCAATCAGTCCTTTAAAAACCAAGTAACACAGACCTGGGGGTTAGGGCTTGGGGCTGTGCCTCCCTCCTACTGAGCGCGGACAGCAGGAGGAAAGAGGGAGGGGGCACGGCAAAAGCCAGACGGCTGCAGCAGTAACGGGAGTGATGGCGACTTCACGGAGCCAGCTACCTCCTCTCCCAAGCCCTGGCTAGAGCCCCTATGGCTTGGGGTGGGGGGAGGGCAGAACCCACCCCAGCCCTACCCCTCAGATCGCCTCCCTGGGGGCTCAGCCCATTTCTTCCAGCAGGAGACTGAGGCTCACGGAGAGGAGGAAGTGGGACAGGAGGACACAGGAGAGGCAGGGAGGTGGCACAATGAAGGCAGAGGTGTGAGGCCCCTGGACCCCCCCACCCCGGGGAGGGGCGAGGAAGCCACACTGTCACACACAGCATTCGGGGAGATGAGGTGGGGCTTAAGGCTGCAGGGCCCCAAGGCAGGCAGGGCCGCAGGCCTCAGTCGAAGCCGTGCCAGTCGCTGTGCTCTGAGTCATATTCTAGCTCAGCACCCACGCACTTGACCCCGTCGAGCAGCATGGGTGTGCCGTGGTGTCGGTCTGCAAGGTAGGTGACAAATGAGGACGCCAGGCTGGCCCCTGGCCCCACCCACTCTTAGGAGACACCCCCCCCCCCAGCCCACCTTCCCTCTGGGCTCTGCTAGGGGGGTGGGGAGAAAGGCACCTGGGAACCCCGGGCCAGGGTAAGGACCCCTTTTTCAGACAGCGAGGGCAGAAACCCCTTGCAGCCAAGCTGGCACCTCCCTCCTCTAGCCAGACCCAAGGCTCGCAAGCTCACCCATGACGCGCGCCTGCACTGTCACTCGCACGCAGGTGCCGGTGCCACCTTCACAGGCTAGCAGCATCTCCTCCTTGAGGACACCCTCCTTGTGTGCCGAGTACTCACACTTGACGCTATAACCTGCCCAGGTCATCAGCACTTCCTTGGTCTCCACCGCCCTCCCCCCACCCCCACCCCTGCCCAGCACTCACTGGCCTCAACCTGCCACCAAGACTGGCCACCTCCTCCAAAGGACTAAGGATGGCCCAGGACCTTTCCCCCCGGGGCTGGGCAAACAGGCCTTGGAAACTTCCCCCTCTTCACTGAGCTCTACCTGTTTCTGGACTGTGGACAACCCCTTTAGGGCTCCAAGGGTCAAACTCAGGTTCCCAGGAGGAGGGCCCATTGATTCCCCAAAAAGGCAGGCAGGGAGAGGGGGTGATGGGGAAAGAGGGACAGGGCAGGCCCTCAGCAGATCAGGTGGCAAGAGGTAAGGGCCTGAGGGAGCTTGCCCAATCCACTAAGGGCAAGGTCATGAAGAGGAAGTAGGGGGACGTGAAACTGAAGCTGGGGTGTCCGCCTACTATGAAACTGACACCCTAGCCTCTGGGTGGGGGCAGGGGAGGGCCTAAAGCTGGCAGGGTAAGGAGAAGCAGCCCCAAGTCCAAAGCCTGTGACTGGCGGGTGCTAGGAGGTAGCTGCCCAGGATTCTGGAGGCTCTGGCAGATTTTTTACGGGCGGGCAGGAGGGAGGGCTGGAGGCCCAGAGCCAGTCCCTCACAGGTGACGCACAGGCACAGGCCAAGAGGGTGAGCCCAGGGACTTCTGTCCAGGAGCAAGGCCTGGGGTATGGGGCCTGCCAAGCCCATAAAGAGGCCTCATGTCCCCCAATTGCTGAAGCCCCCATTCACCCTGGAAGGGGGAGGGGAAGCGGCCCATGCTCTCACTCCCTCTCACATCCAGGCCCTGCTGGAGGAGGGCTGGGGACACACCTTCTGGGATGGGCATGACGCTGAGGAGCTTGAGGTGGAGGCTGGGGACTGGTGCTTCTCGGACGTCCTTGCTCAGCCTGAGCACTGGGGGCAGAGTGAAGGTAATCTCATACCTGTGCAGGATCTTCAGAAAGCCAACCTGTAGCAGGACGATGGGAGAGAGGGAAGCACCTTCACTCTCAGCCTCCCCTGGGGCCAGCCAGCTCCCGCCACCTAGGGTCCTGTGGGCCCCTGCGCCTGCTGCTTTAGGGATCCCAGAGGGGGTCTAACTCCCGCCAGCACTCCAGCTCGTCCACACCCCAAGCCCAGTGGCTCCAGGCCCTTTGCCTGAGGACCTCGTCCCCTCAGCTTGCTACTCAGCCTCTGTTTCCTGGGCCCCACAGCAAATGGTGGCCCACTTTATAGACGAGGAAATGGAAGCCACACAATGACTGGCCGGAGACCACACAGTGTGGCCAGGGTAAAGCTCTTCTGAGGTCCCCTGGCCACTCCTGCCACATGCGGCACAGAGCAAGCACCTGCCATGGCCCACAAGGGGAAGCTCAGAGTCCCACAAGACAGGCCACTCACCTGCCCCCCCACCCCTACCAGCACCTGCCCAGAGCCAAGAGCCTGGGCTCAGGGACACTGGTCCTCTCGTCACTCATGTGGAGACAATGGGCAACACAGGTTGCACGGGATGAAGGAGATAGAATCAGAAAAACAGACACAAGACCAGCTGGGTCAGTCTCGAGCTGGCCCAGCAGCACCACAGTGAGCCCTGCCACCACCTGAACATGGACGCCTGCCTGCCCACTCAAAGGCTCGGTGAGCCCAGAGCCCCAACTCCTGGCCGAAGCCATTTCTGTTGTTCACACACAGTGACTGGCAACCAGATGCCGACCTTCACAAGTCCAGCCGTGAGAAGGGACGTCAGCTGGGGTGGCCGCTGAACGGGCAGGCTATAACCAGAGTGTGGTCCTAGAGGCTGTACCCGCTCCCTCGTGCGCACGCACACTGGTGTGCTCACAGCTGCAGGGGCCGACAGTCCTGTCCCTGGGGCTTGTTAGGGCTGGCTGCATGAAGCAGTTAGCTCAGTGGGACAGACAGACGTCGCTGCATGATATAAAGGTCAGTCCACAGGGCTCCCACACTCCGCAGGTGGAGGACACATTTCTCAAGAGGGCTTTCTGGCTCTCCTGCCAAGGGCGATCCCATGGCCCAGCTGCACCAGCTGCAGAATTTTTGAGGGGAAATCTCAGAGATGTGCAAAAAACACTCATCGCTGCCCTATTTATAACAGTAAAAAATAGAAACATTCATAATACCAGGAATAGGGAACCAGATAAATCGATGATACATTCAAAGGAATATCAGGCAGTTGGAAAATCTCGTGGAAAATTATTTACTGACATAAGACAGCAGACGGTTCACAAGCAAGCAAAAAACAGTGTGTCCGCTGTGATCCCAGCTTTTTGTTTTTGGAAATGAAGCAAAAAAAAAAAAAAAAGGCAGAAAGAAAAAGCTGAAATGACACACATCAAAATATTAACTATAGTTGTGTCCGGATAGTATGATTGTGTGTGCTTTTAAATTTCTTTATAGTTTTCTCTAGCTTCCAAATTTTCCCTAGTGGACGTCAATGGATTTTACAATGGGGAGGTAGGGGGAGAGGGAGCTATTCTTTAAAGTTTTGGTTCATTCTGTTAATTCCCTGGAGGAAGTTCTCAGGAAAAGAGCAAGGATTTTATGATTGAGCAGAAATGATGAATCTGGGCCCCTCCTCTCGGTGGTCTTGATGGACCAGATGCCCTCCCCTTGCTGGGGCATTCCTGCTCAACTCCGGAGCCCTGGCTTACTGTTTAACCTGAGGGATTCATTCCCTGTTTCCCCACCAGTCTGTCCCCTCCAGACACTTCCTCCTGGCCCTCTCAAGTGGATGTGGGATCTGCCAGGGCCCCAGGCCTTGGAGAAGCTGTGCTGGAGGGTGTGTGAGGCGGGACCACTGGCAGAGGTGGGTGCCCCGCCCAGCAGAAAACATGGGGGTGATAAAGTAAACACTAATACCGCAGAGAGCCTAAAGCAGCGAGAGGTTTGCAAAGGGTAATGCAAGTCACACCTTGTTATCAGCAAAATTAGCCTCACACCTGCATGACACACGTACATTCTTTCATCTCATTCTTGCACCAACTCTATGCGGT